TTTTTGGGTTTTCACCAAGATTTTGGTAGGAGATGGGTATTCCCTCAGTAGGAAACGTGTTTTAACGACTCATAGTTCCAAGTCACTGACCGTATGACGTATGTTAAGAAAGATCAGGCCGGTGAATGAAATTACAGGTAGATAAAAAAGAAGTCCTGGTGGTGCAATGGTTAAGCGCTTGGTTGCAAACCTAAAGGTTGATGGTTCAAACCTACCTAGTGGCTCCACAGGAGAAAGGCCTGGTGATATGCTCGTGTAAAGATTACAGCATAGAAAACCCTACGGGGCACTTCTACTCTGTTGTATAGGGTCCCTGTGAGACGGAACTGACTCAATGGCACAGAATGACAACAATTTTTGAAAGTCCTTGTGCTCACAATGAGGAAAACTAGAGGGAAATACTGACAGATTAACCTAAAGTATTTCTACCTGGCTCCCAAGTACAGTCAACACACACACACACGCACACACTCCTTCCATCACACGTCTTGTCTTTAAGCTCCCTGTTCATAATCTAGGTGGAGACAAGAAAGACTACTGGTAATCCACAGAATACGACCCTCCTGTGGGTGAGAGATGCCTACATTCACGATCATATTTGATCCTACCTGTAGGGTACTTTTTCCTTTCAGTCTTACCTTAGAAAGACCTTCTTGGCTGCCAGAGGTGACACATATTTCCATTTGTCCTTGACTGGGTGGATAATGGGTAGTGGGAGGATTGTGCAATTGTACCTGTAACTGCCTTAGCCAGGTCAACAGTTCTGGAATTCTAAAACATAAAGTGTATCTTTTAATTTAAAATCATAGCAGTAGTAGACAGGAAATAAATGGTTGCTTAATACCAGGCTCAGTATACATTCAATGTAACCTTCAAACACTTTTTGCCAGTAATAATACCCCTGTTTAGAAGATGAGGCAACAGACTCAGAGAGATTAAGAAATTCACTGAAGCCTTCTGGGCAACATGGCGCTTTAGTCAGAAGCACCATGCCGTCCCTCCACAGCAAAGATCAGAAAAACTAAGTCAAACAGAGTCACACGTCAATCCTGAAACCCTAAGCATAAAATGAAGAGATAAAGAACTCAGCCAAGCACTGAATGGAATAAGAAACTGACCGAGAACAGAGTGCGAGGAGAGGTACATACAGAAGTCCCCTATCAGCTACCGCAGCACGGATCCGCCATCTTGGATTCCACCCGCCTGCACTGGCCAGCTCCCTGAGTGCCATTTGTTGGCTGTTGGTGTTGCTTTTTTCTGCTTCTTTAGATTTCCTCCTTACCTCTCCCCACCTCCCACTCTTTTCTCCCAAATACCTGGCTCCGTGCGCCATCTTTGCTTCTTCCTGAAAGGCTGCGAAATACCGCTCGACTCTGAAACTGCTTCCTGGTCCGTGCGCCAAGCTGGTGGGACCCCAGGGCTTTTCTGTTTGTTTGCTCTGATTCGTTCTCTTTTGATTTGTTTTGTTTGTTTTCTTTTTCTTTTCTTGGCCTGGGAGCCCCATTTAGCTGGGCAGTACCATGTGGCTTGGGAGCTAGTCCCTTACTCTGCTCAGACGCACAG